TCAATTTTGTTAGCGTCTAGTTGACTTTGATTGCCTCAGCAATAGATGTAGCGCCGGCTTCACTTATACCATTGTCAGACAAATCCAAATTGGTTTAGCGTCTCGTTGACTTTGATGGCCTCAGCAATAGATGTAGCACCAGCACCACCAATACCATTGTAATACAAATTCAAATTGGTCAGATTCAAACAAGTTCCAAAAGACTTTTGCTAACCGTGAGTGAAAATCACTCAGTGTCTTTTACATTCGTTAATGGCCTCTAATACAACTTTTCAACCACTGCCTTCATTTTCGTTCATTTGCTAAACTCTTTACGAGAGCCACGACTTGTTCATCGCATTTCATGGCTAAAATTCCGCACGAAAACAAAAGTACCTCTTCAAGTTTAACAAAGTACCTTGGATCGGAAACTAGTTCGTCAGGTCTAATTTCCTTGCTTTGAATCTGAGCACAAATGAAGAATACTGCAAAGAATTCTTGAAAAAATTTTACGCAAGAAATCCAAATTCAGTCAACTCTTTTGCGTGGTTTCCCAACTGAGTTTCATTAAAATCCAATTTGTCGTTAAGTAAACCATTTAACGCTACCAACCCGAGGCGATTCAATTGCGGTTTGTAAAGATCCGTCCGGTATTCCCTTCTTTTTCTATATCTTCTCAAGACACATTCAACCATATCCAAGTACAGTTGAGCTAAAGCGTGCCTGCCCTTAAAGTACTTGGTGACAAATCCTCTCACATGGTGTTTTGTAAATCCTTAGATTTGAAGCAGCGCGTCACAGCATTTTCTCACCTCTTTTACAGCTTCGTGTCAAGCTGTTGCAACTATGTGGCATCTGGGGAGTAATCTTCCATCAATTTATTCGGAAAAATCGACAATTTACTGAATGGTAACCCATCCAATATCAATAAAATGATATTGTTGTTTGACTTCTTCATCGATGTCTCGGGGCAGAAGCTGCTCATCAATGACTTACCAAACATCAGAATGGATGTCTGGGCATTTAAGCAACAATACTGCTTTGAATGCTGTGGAGCCGCAGCCCTGAGGTGCTTGCCTTTTGGTGGCCTAGTCGTAGGCGTACTTTTTACAGTAGGTGGTTTTTCTCGTACCAGGTTCTCCTTCTCGGCGCTGAACACTCTTCATACGGGTCTAGTATTGACGACATCTCAACAAATACGTCAGTGATTTCTCCTCTCGTTTTCTTTCTTCTGACCACTTTGAGCCATGTAAAAATATTGCCAAGAAAGAACTGAAACTCTTCACACCATGGAAATGGTGAGAGCCATCCCTCGCGAGTCTTGTACAGCTGGCGAATTCCATTGATAAGCTCAGTTGGATCAAAAATACCTAGCAGTAGTAAAATGAGTAAGAAATCTAATGAATGCAGCATTACGAGTAAGAATCACATATCAGTAATCATATGCTTGCAATATGCAGGAAGTTTACCTCCATGGACATAGTTAATCGAGCTGGCTTGCCACAAGTCTACTGTATGTAAGTGTTAGAGTGTCTGAAGTAATGAACGGAAGGTGGTAGGTTTGAGTCCCAACAGAATAAAAGTCGTACGCACTCACTAACCATTTCTAGTGTTCTTATTGGTTCTCTCAATTTAGGTTATATGAAAATGATTTATCTTAGTGTCGCTCAGCTAAATCTATTTTTGGCTGGAAGCAATTACTTCTTTTTATACATTGGAAATTAACCAAAGCAAATGCTAGTCAACGTCATATTGGTAACAAAAAGTGAAAGTAAAAAAGTTTAATGTAACTTGATTAAATGGGACTTAAATTTTAAGCTTAACTTACAGCACTAGCCTCAGGTCAACGCTTTATGGTCAAGAAAAGGTATAACGTTGTCACAACAGAAAGAACAACCGGTTACCTTAAAAATTCCATCATAGGAATTACAGAATTTGTGTCGAAATATCTACGCTTTAACAGGATCTTTCATTACAAAAACTCAACTTCGACTGCGGGTCTGTTTAAGCAACCACAATACTGGCTTCTCCGTTCGCTACCACGCAGCAAAACATTTGAACATTAGGGTATAACGTTTTACTGATTTAACCAAATGTTTGTCTCAGTGGGAATATAACTCTTAACTCGTACACTCAAAGCGTGAAATTGAGGTCAGGATATTGAAACGAAAGCTATCCTCGATCGCAAGCTTTACTCTGTTCCAGTTAAACAAAACACTAAATCAACCTGTTCACAAAATTTTTCGCTTGCCTATAAGTTGGAACTTAAAGACGCCTGATTGCTTGTCTAGTAAGTATTGTATGTCGTACCCTTAAACGTTTCTTCGATCGTAGATTAATGTATTTTGTGTACAGCTGAATAAACTGCTTGCGTTGAATTTTCATTCAGCTTCGGACGTAACTTAACCGTTGCTTATGTGATTCAAGTTTTGCCGTTTTGACGATCAGATCGATATTGACTTCAGGTAGCTTTAATTTGAAGAAAAATTGAGAGTTAAAACGGATTACCAAAAAGTGAAAAAATTTAATAACTCATTGATTCCATTCGCTCTTGTTTCTGGCTTTAATTGAAATTTTGATGTCTGGAAAAGCCAAAGAAGTGTCGGGAATTTCCCAGGTATATTTCAGAGCCAGGCGAAATGAACTGATAACGGTTATTAATTGAGTCAGTTCATCCCTGGTAGAGGAAGTGGCGCTGATACAGTCGTCGATGTAACGACCGTAGAGTTCAGGTTTGGGGCCGTTGTATTGACTGAAAAATTGATGTTCGATAAAACCTACGAAACAATTGGCGTAGCTGGGTCCCATTTTACTTTATTAAAAGCAATTAACTTTTCTACCCCGCATTTTTTACCCCATGGCTCAGGTGTCATCTTTCCTTGAATGTTTTCTTCAATACACCCATTTCATTTACATAACGATAAAGCAAAAAGACCAGAGTGTCTATTAGGAAGCTTTTAACAAATCATATTTTATTCCAGCGTCAATCTGAACTACATATTAACCTAACAATTTTTTTCTGCTTCGTGAAGCCTCTGAGTTTGGGTTTGTGTCTGGGTTTGGGTTCGATCAAATTCTTGATCCACATATTTTTTTAAACACGTGGAATTCAACGTCTCCCTTTTACTTTCTTTGGCTACACAGGTTTTCTGATGGGGTCAATTTTTTAAATCCAATTGACAGAATGAACCGACAGGAATCTAGAGGTAACATTTCATCTGTACAAGCTCATTGGTCAAGTCGTGCGGTAAATTATTCCATAGGTTCCTGTTTCTGACTTGTTGGATACGAGATTGGTATAGCCAGTTCATATCAGGCGCGGGCTCATGGAACAACTGTTAAATATAGTGCACATATTATAATAAGTATATACAGTAATTGTACGAAAGACAAAGGTTCTTTGACTACGGCTTACGTCCATTTCTTAGGCAAGACCACTGAATTAAAAAAAATGCGGGGACTTCGATTCATTAACCGGTTCTAGGCGTTCATGTAGTAAAACAGAACGAAATAAATGAACTGTGCGATAGTACCAACAAAACAGTACGCGACCCGACCCACCCCTGGCCCGTTTTTTTCACTCGGCTGCTATCATCGCATCATTTACCATAATTACACTTTGCATTTGCAGGAATTGTACGTGAAAAGTTAAGTGGTTTTTTCAAAGACAATACTCTGGACGCCAGTAATAGCAATGTACACTGTATGTCCCGTTACAAATCCATTTATTTCCTCTTTCACGACAAAGCGCAGTTTACGTGACCATAACTACCAATAATTCCCAGAGCGCTAACTATTGTTGACTGTTCAAAATTGTATGGTCAGCACCCGTTCTCATTATTTTTTTTTTATCCTCTCTAGGCTACTCGAGAGAGCACTAATGATTTGATAAACATCTCTAGGGGTAAAACCTGTGCATTTTAATGAATAGAAAAAAACCAGGAAAGATTTATTACTCGACGTTTCGGGGTCATCGTGACTCCATTATCAAGAGACTAGTTTAAAAACATGCAAATAAGGAAAGGTACAAGAATAGCATAAATTAGAATGAACGGCTTAAACAAACACCTTGGCGCGGATGGAATCCGTTTGCACGTTCAGTGTTGGCTTACGCATGCGAATATACAACATTTCATTAACAAGGCAATCAAATTTGCCGTTACATTTCGCGATGACGTTGAATTGCTCGATCAAGCGTTCAGGCATTTCACTATTGTGCTGGAGGTGGTAGTGTTTGTAGATAGAAGATGATTTCCTTGTGTGCCCTTCTACGCGCTCGTGTAAGAGACCACGAGTATAGCCCACATACCCTGCATCACACAGGTTACATTTAAATTCATAAACGATACATTGTTGGTTAACAATAGGGGGCTTAATTTCGTGTTGCTTAAGCTGTTGATCGAGCTTAGGGCTAACGAACACTGGTTGGACAGTCACGCTTAACTTCGAGCTTAGACTGTTCAGTTGTTGTTTAACATGATTAGCTGACGACTGGTCCTTGAAGGGCAACACTAATCTCACAATCTCCGATGGTACGGAGATGTCCATCACCAGGTAGATGCGGTCTTAGGGAAAGCAGTTTATGCGCCGGATAGCTTTCCTAAAACCAAGCGGGTTTTGCGGCAAAACAATTTTTTAGCAATTTACTAAAACTGCAGACAACTACGGCACACAGAACGAGATCTCATCAATCTAGTTAATTGGATATTTTCCGCACTATCCTGCCTTTCAGAATTGAGTCAGAAAATAAACTGAACTCCAACGCTTGTGTCGAGCATGCGTGTAAGTGCTAAACATGTTAAAGAGAAAATAAGAGTATACTTTATCGGTAAACTGATAAAAGCGTTACAGCGTTTAAGAATATAAAATCAATTGAGTTATAACGTTCCAGCCTAATCGCTTCGCACAAAATGGCTTTTTCTACCAAGTAAGCGTGTGAGGAAAAGGTGATTCAGCCCTGAAACTTGTTGTGGCAAAGTGTTCAAACTGTTAGCCGGTCATATACCGCAGATTCTATCTAGCTACACTATTAAATCCTCGACGTTTGCATACAACTGCTTGTCGTACATTGTCATGTTGATCAGCTTCTGCAAAAAAGAATAATATAATAATCAGCATCATTAAAAAAGTCTTCCTCTTACGTTATAAGCGTTTATCCTCACAAGTGGCCAGTTTTTTTCACACCAAAACAAATTCAAGAAAGTATTTTATGGTGACATCTGCAACTCTTTGTGCGTCTCAATACAATTTTGCAATAATCCTACGATCTTTTAAATAACCATAATGAGTCAATTGTCGTTGGGACATTCTAGTTCGCTTCCTCCTTGTTTTTCGTGTAGTGCTAGCTTCAGTGACATAACAAGAAGATGCAATCCCAACTTCGTAAAAATTACGCTATCTAAGCTAAACGCTATTAAGTTTAAAACCCCATTTAGCTGAGCCTAAGCCAGTCGGTCTAACGTGAAAAGAAACTTTCATGTTGATCAAAATTCTCACCTTGTGTAGGGTTTCCATGTCCTTAAGCTGATTTTTCAATTCAGTAAAAGTTGGTCTTGCATCTGGGTCATTCTTCCAGCATTTCATCATAATCTGATACCTGGTATTGTTCAAATGATCTGTTAGAGAACGCGAAGTGAACGTTTCCTTGTAGGGTAAGAGATAACGAATTAAAAAAGCACTTACAATTCTTCATCGACGTGTTGTGGTTTAGGCATCCTGTATCCATCCTGAAGTAAGTTTGCAATTTTTCTGCCATCCATTCGTGGGTAAGGTGAACCACCTGGAAGAACCACAAGACCATCGAAATATAAATGTGACGAAAAAACGACCTTCACTGAAACACCACCCATGTCATTTGATGTAGTTTGAAGCTCATTACGTTTGTCTAACTGAACACGTTACATTGCTTAATTGAACATAGTATATAGCAAAAAACATCTACAGGGTCTTATAAATCTCCATTCGATGTTACCTATGGTAAAAATCTCGTACAGCAAAACTCCATAACTCCATCTGCAGAAAGACAAATCAAACAAATATATATTGGGTGACTGAAGACATTAACATTTTATACGACAGCTAAAATATATGTATTCTTTTACCAAGCATAGAATTCATTTCCTGATTGAAACTGATAAAACTTCGAGAAAGATGTTTTTCGTCTTGTCACGATTGTGGGACGAAGGAAAAATTTTGAGTCCCCACGAGGAATTGAACCTCGGACCTTTGGATTCCGCGCTCCGATTCTCTCTCTTGTTTTTATTTACAAACATGACTCTATCGACATTGCTGATCCTTGCAGTATGCAGGACGCGTGTCATATGAACTAAGTGATAGATCTAACTCACAGTGGTATGAGCATCGGAGCGCGGAATCCGATGGTCTGAGGTTCGATTCCTCATGGGAAGCGAAGATATTTTCATTGTCCAACGCTCGTGAGAGGATGAAAAACATCTTTCTCTATTTCTTTACCGAGCCCAAAACTTACCCTCCCTCTTATTCTATTAATAAAACTTGTTGGAAAATTGCTACGGGTAATAATCAGGTATACTTACACATCACTTTTGGTGGTATATTTACCATACATCAAGGCCTCATAAGCTGTCCACTTCACTGGAAGACGGCCCTAAAGATTTCAAATATCACTTTTTTGAAACAGCTAAAAAATTATAGGAGGCGACCGGTCAAAGACAGTGATATTTAAAATTATAATCGTATACGAATGGCTGTTTTCATTATGGTCCCATCCAAGGATTTTGTAATCGAAATCAGGAGTATATCGGCTCTACCACAACAATGATCGTGAAAGATCAGTAAACTGAACGATATGTAGTACCGTCCCCACCTCCCCTCTTTCTTGATTACCTTAGTCTTTCGTTCATAAATATTTTCCTGCTGCACATCTCTGGCCATTCCGAAGTCTGTCACTTTACAAGTTTCCTTTTGTCCAACCAACACATTACGGGCCGCAAGGTCTCGGTGAATGATCTAAGAACGCATTGATACGAGAGCAAAAATTAGCGATTCCAGAAGAAAAAGAACTAGAATGAAATGATTCAGATAGGAAAATAGAAATATCCAGCGACATAATATGGTGTGTGTATTTCTCTTTCTTCCAGATGGCAGAAAATTAAAATTACTATAATTACTGCTCCATGTTCCAAAGAGAAGCAAACTACTTTATTTCTGTAATACCTGGTTTTTTTCATAGAAAGCTTGTCTTAAGATTTTATTCCAAATAGGATTCTGTAATGTTGCAGTTTAGCAACCAAAGAAGAATTTTTGAATTTCAAGTTTTAAGAAGCGATCTCTGTAAGAGCGGTCTAGGGCATTTCGCATCGGAAAAAAGTATTCCCTCAAACTTTGCCCAATAAACTATCTTTGGTAACAAGTAAATAAAACCACATTAGTTTCTGGAAATACGTCAAAATAAAATTTTTAGAGCTCTCAAAAGTCAAAGCTGCAAAAGGCCCTTTTTTGACCTCTTGCGACATCGAAAATTTCAAAAGTTGAATAGCCCGGTCTTCGTATCACACCGCATGCAGCAAAAAATATTTTGTATTCTTAAAGTGTGTGATATATAAGGTGTATAAAATGCATTTCAATTTTGATATTCGTTTATTCAGAGGCTCGTCATAATTTATTTAAAAACACTCGTTGGATAGCTTTCTGAAATTGGTTAAAAGTACTCTTTCTTTCTTGGTTGATATTGCTCAAGTCCAGACCAGACCATTAAAAACTCCGCTTGATTTCTGCTAATAAGATGTTTGGCTGCAGAAAAAAATAAAAACATCTTGCACTTATTGATTTTCTTCGCCGAGGTGACTTCTAACTTGTAGCGATATTGCTAGCGTGACAGCCGATTATGCAAATTAGTTCATTGAGCAAACTCCGACCGTTTTACATGGGTAACTCAATAAATCTTAGATTTTAACCATTTTAAGTAGACAATATAGTAGAAAATATAGTGGAGAGAGCTTTAATAACACACCGATTAATACCTTAAACATTTTAAAAGGCCAAAATTTGACATATTTTATTATCTCGTGACGAAAGACGTCAACAAAAACGTATCGAATATCATAATTTTGATTAGCGCTCGCAAACCCCTTTTTAAAAATTGGGCTTCTGTTATTTCATATTTGAGTTCTGATGGCTTACGCTATTCAAACCTGTATGAACATTTCAAATCCAAACTACAGGATTCTATTTAGTGTAACCGGCGATAACAGCACACACTGAAATACACCATGACCAGTGACTCTGTCACGTAATTCCATCGTGTAATTGTCCTGAATACTTCTCACGTCTAAATAAAGCAGCGATTTCTCGGATTTCTCGCTGAAAGAGAAAAAATTATCTCTCAAGGAAGTCAATCTTCGATTTATTTAAAGAAGATTGATTAGTCGCCGCCATCATTAAGCATTCTAGTGTCTTAATAGAAAATCGCCTTCAGTTTCTGGATGTCATCCTTTCGCGGGCTTCCGCAATATCCGCGGGTTTCATAATTTCCCCGCCGACCAAAATTACCGTGTACTGTTACCCTCAACGAACGCCTTCGATATAGCGCCACATCAGCCTCAGCCTTCGGTTTCGGCTGATAACCCCTACCTCAGCCTTCGGATTACTCTAGATATCACAAAAACCTCATCCAATAAACAAAAGGCCGTGCGGCGGTCTTCTTCATCATGTCTTCTGTCGTTTGTTTGTTTTGTGTTCTCCAATCGAGTATGACAAACGACGTCAATGGAAAAGTTGTGGTTATCCATCCCGTGACGGCGTTCAATAAATTAAAACAAGATGTTAATATTTGTATTACGATTCAATCACTTTTGACATGGATCTAACAACATAATATTAGTCTTTTTCAGGTTAGAAGTCAACATTTCGTACTTCGTCATATAGGCAATGTACCTAACTTTGTTTGGCTTCCCTTCAACAGCTGCGCATTTGAAAATATTTTCCCTAAACGGTTTGATATCGAGTAGCCTATATGAGGAATCCTTAATTTTTCATGGTGCCGGACGCGCATTTCTCCACCATTGGGAGGGGGTCTGACACTAAAAGTGCTAAACCGCTTGCAGACTTCTCACCGGCTCGTATCGCTTCAGGCCTCATACTCTCCCGTGGGCGTAGTAAAGCTCGTGCCGAGACGCTTAAGGCTACTTCCCAGGTTTGCGGATGTCCTTCGGGAAAAAATTCGTACGCGCACTATTTTCACTAAAATCCTAGCAAACGACACATCAGGAGAAAGCTAAATAACTGCAGTTTACGATAAAAACATAATTTAAGCGACTTTTCTTTTAAGAAAGTGTCAGGAGTTGGTAAGGCGTGAAACGACCGAAGGTTCTTCCTTTGAATTTATCAGGTATCGGATGCCGCAACACGAGCAAATTGGCTGCACAGTCTTATTCATAATCTTAGTCAGGCTTCTTCGACATTCTGATTGTTTGTCTAGATATCGGCATTTAAAGTTGGAGTAGCTAAAAATATACGAGGTGTGTTGCGTAAATAGACACCACACGATAAATATTTCAAATATCAAAATTCCCGACGCACTTTCGTTTGTGATTATTCCTGGAATATTTTGGCGAAATTTTACAAAAATCGGTCAAATCTATATATCCTATAAATTTGTTCAGAGTGGTTGTATTCCTCCCAAAATCAAATGCTAGATTTAAGCTCCTAGAGGTTCGCAAACAACTCGCGCCATGCCAGGAAACCTCGCCCTGGGACCTCCTGACCTGGCGGCAATGACGATGGATCAAGATTTCCCGGGAAAAATAATCCATTCCAGACACAGCGATCGCTCTGGCGAAAGGGTTAACGCTCGAAACGTCGGCTGTTTTACTCTTTACGGTGGCCAGTTTACGTTTTCAACTCAGTTGTTAACACTAAATTACCTGCTATACTCTCCCACCAACGCAGCACCACATTTTCTTTAGAAACTTACCCCCTTTATTCATCTTTTTCATTTATCTCGATCGTTCAGTGGAGCGTTGAGGAGGAAAACACAAAAATGAGCAAAGTTGCCAAAGGCAAAGGAAAAACCCACGGCAAAAATGGAAAAACCGGAAAATTTGCAACGGAGCAAACAATGAATCGACAGACAGCTTTCAAAATTACGATTCGAGACAATTGTTAATGTTTTTTTTATCAAAGCTGGTACTTGCGCATGCGCAAGAGCGAGTTATAGATACGATGTGGGGAATGGCATTCGCTCGCTCGCTCGATTGGTCGATTCCTGTAAACTTTTTATAGATTTTAGGCTTTTGAGTGCATTTGATAGTTTTTGGCGAGCACAGAATGGCGACCTTTGTTGCTAAGAATAGTGGTGGGGTGAAAAAGAAGGCAATGATAATCTTAAAATAGTTTTTTTTTTCGTTTTAGTTTCAACAAGCGGCGCCAGCGACTGGCAGGCATGCAAGGATTCACACTGAAATAACAGAACAACCTTCGTTTTTCATAAAATTGTAATTTACAATCCTTGAACTTGAAAACAATCCGAAGATTCATTGAAAATATCACTTACTGCGAAGCGCTCGGAGTTTACAGATGTTCAAAAGCTTTTTCTGTTGTGGCGTGAGATTGAGGACAAAATTGATCAGTACATTTCGTCGCTTGTGTTTTTCCTGTGTGAAACAACAGAAGATGCCGGCGACTGACGAAATAACAAGTCAACAAGAAAATCAAATAACACCTAAACAAACAATTTTAGCTACCGATTTTCAGTGAATTTTTAAAGAACAATTTTTTTTTAAGTTTCAAGACAATTTGAAGATTCAACATACATACAACGTACTAAAATGCGAAAGTTACACACCACAAAATTGATAAATAGGCCTGAAATGAAATTCTATCTTGTTATTGGTTATACGTTGCCTAGCACGTGACTTAAATCTACTCAGGCGGAGATCCAAAATGACGGTGGCAGGCTTGGCTTAGTTATATCACTCAAAACTCGTTCCCGTTTGTCTCGTTTGATAAAGAGGGAATCGTTGATGTTTTCATTAAGACAGTATTGCCTTGGTTTTCTAATATTTACAACGAAAGACAGTAAATTTCACTTTTCACCCACATTTACTTTCAACCTTTTCTTTTGAACCAGAAACAAAAATGATAGACGTTTAAAACACGACATCATCCACTTTGTCAAATGTAATAGCATGATCATTTCAATTGTAATGCCTTCTTATCCCAACGTTACTTTGTTTCTTTGCTACATTAGCGAACACTGAACTACTGCTCGTACTCTAGATATGACAATCAACCACAAAATTCCCTAAACCAGATAACATTAAACATAATCTAAAAAATCATGTGTTAATTCACGAATTTGCTCACAGAGCACTTCGATTTTTTCTCGACTCGCGCGACGGACTTCGTCGAAATGGAGGGTCTGCTCGTAGTTTAGGTTCAGAAGGCTAACTTCGATTTTTACTCCTTTATTTTTGAGGGTTTTGGAGTTGCCATTAGTCGGTTTTAACAAATTGGTGTATTTCCTTAGACGTATTAAATATCTTGCTAACCTCTTCTCATATCTATCATATCTGTAACAACTAGAATTTGCATTTTCATTTATTGTCAAGTAACTGCGAAATGATTTTCTAGTTTTTTTTCAATTGAACCACTATTACGTTGTTTCTATTTAAATAAGTTCGCGTTTTTGCGCGAGATTGTGTCAGAAATACGTAACGCCGGTAGCGATTTATTTCTCGTCAGTACAAGCGTTGTTTTCGTGAGATAATTCTCATTGATAATTGATTTCTATGGTCAGTCGCTTCGTCAGTTTTTGCTAGCGCCGTGTTATTTTTGTTCCAGAGTCTTAACTACCGTACCTGGTTATGCCACAAATTGTAAGTTCGTTTCTATCTTATGTAGCTCTGTCGTTATTCTTGTTGTTGTTATATTTGTACACAGATATTTGTATTATTTATTTATTTCAGTCGAACCACATTTACACATCCTTGCATCAAAATATTCGTCTA